TGGAATGGCTCTACGAAAGCCTCATGCACTCGTATTTTTTTCAAAATTACATTGGATCTGGCCACGAGACTACCTGCACCACGAAAACAACGAAGCATGCAATGTGCAAATCGCATGCTACACTTTGTTGCCTCTTAGACCTATTCCTCTGAAGTTGGGACATCTAGATTTGGCCATCCTTTCGTATGAGGCAATTGAGCGACATTGCTCCTGTTCTGCGACGCGAACTCAGTTGCTACAACCACTGGAACGCGTTGAACCATTCATGAATTGCACCGGGACAACTCTTGCGAATTTCAGTTCGGCAGTTCGTCTTCCTCCAGGCTTTTCACCCTACAGAGACTTCATCTGACAGTTTGAGTTCGGGTAGCAGTGAACGGCTTACACTTGCAGCCAGAGAGTTGAGTCATACCGGGACCGCTGCGGCAAAGATCCCACTGGAGACAGCTGGAATGGCGGTCTGAGCAAGTCGGCAAGACATTTGCCAGCACGGCTGGCACTAATTTAGTGGGGGTATTGAGAGACCTTTATTCGTCTCAGCCATTTGTCCAATTAATTTCCCACCAGATGTTTACATCACTATTAACGAGGACATCTAACTTCGTGGCTGTCTTCAGTCGGAGCTACTTTCGTGTGGGTCCTGCAGGGCGCGTTGTCTGACGACGCCGGTGACTTTGCACCCCGGGGCGGCAGGGGTGATAATCCGAAACCTACCCAATGCCACTTTCCTAGTCTTTGGGAGCAACTGACCGGCTAGACAAAAACGACGCACTTCTTTGAGCACCGAAATCTTTGTGCTATTTGATCTTCGGGGTCGTCCTGAAGCGTATTCGCAGTGAAAATCCCAAGGGCATGTCATTCAACGTATTACTGAATTGGGTGGCGGTTGAGGGTCGAAACTGTGGGCGACTAGGTGCTGGTCTTCCAGCTAGTTAAGTGTGGTGAGCGGGAATATTTCATTAATGACAACTAGTCCATTCCCATCACAAACAAGAAGTGGCCCAGTGATAACGAATCCACCGAGGACATGACGTGTGTTTAGATTGCCGTAACCAATACGCCCGTCACAGTCTGCTGCTACGATCTCAAAGGAAATAGATCTCATCGCCTTGGTCGGAGGGCGCATCCACGTTTGACAACGCCGCTGTCGGCACCAACTATAATTACGCTGACAATTGCGCCTTCTGGCCGTATGGCCGAGACACATTATCATGGCATGAACACTTTGGTTGCATTTTGTGTCAGCTGAATTAAAGGTTGTCAGATGTGAGAGGTACGCGCCCATGGTTAGCATACACCCATTCTTTAGAAGACGAAGACGCGATCACTGGAACAATAAATTTCTTGGCCTGACTTTTCGGACCCTCACTTGAATCCATCATCTGGGACAGTCGCAGATAAGGGTAATGGTGGCACAAGGAGTGCGGTATTTATAGCACCTGGCTGCCGTGGGACCACATGCGCCCTGTAATTAACAGCTCTCGCAATCACCACTGGGGTCGTAATTGATGCGATAGTAACTTGTCAGTCCGCGTTCGACTCCTTAATTGCCGCGATTTCGCCATCCATCTTGGATGCTGGTGTGACGATTGCTCGGCAGATTGGCTCATTCTCTTGTCTACTCACGCCTCTCTTACTGTTTTTTTTCCAGTCAGATTGCATGCGAGAGGCCTTTTCAGAGTTGGATGTGACGAGCGAGGTCCTCGAGGTCACCGTAATTCCTCCACCGCTGCCCCAGCCGCGTCTGCGTCTAACCACCTACGGCTACACCGGCACCGTGCACTACGACTTCCCGCGGGACTCGGATCCGGTAGAGGTGTTTGAGTGCTCCACTCCGGACGCCCTGGTGGCCCGCTATCGACTCACTCTCCTGCGTCCCGCCACAAATCGGGCGTTGGCACTCTCCTCGCGTGTCTGTATTCGCATGAATGAGCGTGGCTTCCTGTCTCTGCAGTACATGATCACCTCCCTCCATTCCAATGACTCGCAGGCCTCCTTCGTGGAATTCTTTGTAAGTCATGGACTTTTTGCCGACTAACCTAGACTTGCGATATTGTTCCGCCCGTAGACGTATTGGTCTTCCTTTCGGCATGCCTGATTTGTTGGTAGGCGTTGAAATGGGTAATAAACCCTGCGGACTCCTGTTTGTTGCCTGAAAAATGAGTTCTTCCTACCCACAGAACCCGACTCCTAAAGGGAGTATTTGCCTCTACTACTCCCAGAATTTGAGGCTTGTATGTTTTCCGACAGAGATTACAGTTTTCATGGTAAACCACTCTTTCGATATTATCGAATTTGATCGTTTCATTGGAGGCGCAACCCCTGTCGTGACCCATGCGATAGCTTATCGCTTGGGAAGTACAATCAGTGACCGATCTCGTGAAATATTAACCAGAATTCTGAAATTTGTCTTCGAATAGGAAGGATTACTTGAGTTGGGTCCTACTATCGATTCTCGTGTGACACGATCCCATGATATCTCAAACACACCAGGACTATGGCTTTTGAATGCCGTACACTCTTCACTCAAATTGCGTCGTATCCATTCATTTATTAACGCTCATGATGTATAAAACGCATTCCAAATTAATTTAAAAACTTTATGAGTCCTGTTTGGTAACTTCTTAATGGCATAAAGGAATGCATGGTTTTCCCCACAGGGAAAAAATGCAGCTTGTAGACTGAAAACCCTAAACGCAGATGCAACGACAGGTCGGGCTTAACATTATTTGGGAATCGAAAAAAATGTTTAAAACCGAAGGATGCCATTTCCCTGAGTATAAAATTTAAAGAAGTGATTTTCTAAAAAAAATGAGTACAAAATGAATATTTTTGTTAATGTCTTCTACAAAGTCTATTTGAATTGATAAGGACATCGAAAACCAACAGGAAAATGCATGCTAGTTATGTAGTCAGCGTTTGCCGTGTGCGGTTTTTGCAAGCAACCGATGAGAAGTGCATTCGAAAGCCAACATCCTGCAGTGCCTGAAATGTCGTGGGATTATGCCGCACGATACTCAATATTGCAACCTCATTTAACTAAATCTTCCTAATCGAAAACGTAGTCCAGAGTTTCGGTTAGCACTTCATGAGATCGGTCACTGACTGTAGTTTGGAGAGTTTGCTTCGGTTCAAGCCAATTGGTTCCACCTGAAGACGCCCTGGTGGCGGCTGCTGACCGTGTGGGGACAACAGACGGCTTGGCAACAGTTTAGGTGGACGTTCAACGGGGCAGTTCTTTTGTCGAAAGGCTGTTAACCGGTCGGATTACAGGATCCGCTTGTCCTGTTTCCCTTTTGGACTCGACCTGGAGCCCCAGGAACAGAGGAAGGTTGCTGACGACGGCATGGGAGCCTGAAAGAACTATTTCCGGCTTATTAGCCATCATCGGCCAGCCATGCCCAACCCCAGGTTTGAATGACCCGGGATTCGAGCTCGGGTCCTTCGGTCATTGAGTAGAACGCTCAACCACTGGGTCGCGGACCAGTTGTCTTGCCGCTTGCGATCGGGAATGGTAACTTTTTTGAAAGGCCTTCACCGATCGGGTTACAGGACCCGAACGTGTCTTTTCCATCTCATGTAGTCAGATTTGTGGCTGAGCCCTAACAAGTTCATGATTAGCTTTTGGCACCACACATCGCGCTGGAATATAGTACTGTACTGGCTCAACGCCCTTGGCTCAGTGTATAGTTTAATTTCTAGATCGGCCGGCACTTGAATGCTAAGTTACTAGATGTCTTCTGAGGTGTCGTTGCCGGCTGGTCGTAAATGCCAGATTTCTCAGGATAGCAAAATCCTCAAACGTTTCATTCTTATCACAAGACCCTCTTATTGTGAAATATAGAAGGACTCGTCCCGTAGATGCGTCGTATCTCCTAGCCTTGGCCCTCCAGTAGTTTGCAACGACAAGGTCAGTCGCCTGGAAACGTCGACCGTCAGAAGTTCATCTTGGAGGACCTCTTTTTGCACGTCGTTGGTGTCCAACTTGGGGGGGGGGGGGCATACTCCAACAACTGTTACGTTTACAACAGGAATATGCAAAAGTGCAGTCCCCAGCGAACACGGTTTCCAGCGTGTGACTAGAGTTTTGGCCTAATTTCCCGGAACGATTGTAGCGTCGTGTCCACCTCTGTCGTGGTGCTTAACGTTTCTCTCAGCGCCTAACACTTTAATAATGTTTGAGTCCTAATCTCTAACGGAGACGGAGGCCGGCAGTTCCGATGTGGTACTGTGCCACCGAAGGTATGGGTTAGCTCTGCACTGCCGCTACTACAAAAATTCCCACGTCCCAGCATACGATTCGCAGTTTTGCTTTTTAAGCTTTTCATTTCGTCTTGACTTGATTGACCAATTCAGACTAGTCTTCGTAATTTGAATTTTAAGCTCGATACCTAAATTGAAATTGATATTTGGTTTGCATCCTATCAAGTTCTGTGGATCACCTGCGCGATACTAAAATTGGCAGCGGCCAGCCAGCGGTGTGTACATATACATTGAGATTGATTCGTCATGCTCTCAGCACGGATAATAGCCAAAAACCCAGGCACGCATTTCGCCGACTTTGTGCCGTTGCATGATGCGCCGCCATCTTTTTTTTCCTCCGAAAAGGCCATTCTGCCGGTTGACAGAGACCTAGATGCGCCGGTTCCCGTGAACACCGTAGTATGAATCGAAAGTCGTGGTGATAAAACTTCCGTGAAATGTTGATTCAAAGACTTCATAAAAGTTGGGTTCCTTGGTCTCCAACTCGACCTTTGGGCTGGATGCCCAGCCTGCAGGCTAATTTATTCATCGACGGCTCATGTTCGTCCCATCACAGTGCTGGCGGCCCATGCTGTAATTAGACCGCGCCATTTTATAGGGCTACCGGTTTGCTATACTCTAATCCCCCGCATCCTGTTTGCACTGTTACCGCTGGTTCGCGGTTGTTTATTCGCCAAGTGTAAGTCTGATTTTCTTTCGCATATTCATATCAACTTGCGGATCGAGCCTGAAAGGTATGTTTCGAAGGATTTAGTGTAGGTTCGCGCATTACTTTCATCGGAAACCAAACAAGGCAGTTACAATGTTCATCACCCGTAGGTATCTCGGGTAGCCAACAGCTACACCACCACATATGCCTTATCTACCCCGTGTTCACCCTGTCATTTCAGAATCAGGCCCAGTAAGGATAGCGCTGTGTCCCCACCTAGCCTTTTTTTCCCAGGACATTCCTACTTATTTCATTTACGTAGGCATGTTATGTCAGGTTACGGTCGCGTTCAACTTTACGAATAGAGTTACGGTCATAATAAAGGCTGGGGTTGGGTTTAAAGTTAGGGTTAGGAATGGGATCGGAACTAGGAGTAAGGTTAAGGCTGGAGTCAAGTTTTCCTTCCACTTATCGTTTTAGCCATTTCGGCCATCATTAATCAATAACCACAGCTTACCTTCTTTTCCGCCCGTTCTCGTCCACTCAATTCGCATCTTTCAAATTGCGCGGCATCTTGTTGGATTAATGAGGCAAACATACGATGGGACTGTGAGTTTTCTCCATGCCCTCCATCTGCCCCATACCCACTAACATCCTTCTCACCTAACGGAAATTCTGCTCAATTTTTCGGGTGGCGCCACATACGCTATCGTTGCCTCGAGTCCGAAAAGCCCTGTGTCGAGTTCTGCCATCAGTTATCTACGTTATCTACCATTCTCTACATTAAGGTTATTCGGGTCCCCAGGAGTTGTCTTTGCCCACCCTTCTGCTTCCGAAAGCTTACTTCTCTTGTCTATCTTTCTAGTGTGTTCCCGACGTGGACGATACGGACGACCATCGGAACACTGATGACATCGTCTCCGGCGACATATCGCCCTAGCACAGGACGCTGTTCCCCCTGCTCCCCCTGTTCTGCATTTCCAGATTATTTTTGGCAAATTTGATGGCATTTACACCACCACTGGCCCATTTTTGACTGAATCACTTGTTTACAATCTTTACACTGTTTTCATTTGATATGCTCTTCCTTAAACCAAATTGGCCAGTTTTTTTTGCCTCCGAGCGTTCATAGTACATTTCGAGACCACATCAACTTTGTCCATAACCCCTTAAGGATGGAAGGTTGCCGGCCATTTGACGCGTCCACGGGTGGCGCTGACAGTAGGAGGCCAGTCAGCTGCAAAAGAAACCGACTATCGGGTCTGGCGAGTAAGCCACTGCTGACCGGCAGTGACAGCGTCACTGGGAGGCGAACAACCAAAGTCTGGCATACCGAGTTTACTAGAGGTTTTCGCAGTGCGCGACAATAACACTACGACATGGTGATCGCAGACCACCATTATATAAGTCCGCATGTCACCACTGCCTTGTGGTTAGGTTCCACCGAAGTAAAGCACTATAGGGGATAGCTTCGAACAGCTAATCCAGGCTGTTGTTGGTGAATGTGCGGTCCTGGTGAATGTCCGCCCTGCTGGGTTCCGTTAAGGTCTCTGAGACTGGATGTGAATATTTATCTGAATTTCAAAATAAGGATGAAATACTTGTACTCCACAAATGGGGCTTCCCCCGTACGAGGCGTGTATTGCGGTTTTGCGACATGTCCGCAGCACAGTTACTAGCCACATGCCCAAAACTTGTTTCACCGAGTTTGTGCCGCTGTTTGATGCAATTAGAATGTTCTCGACTCATCGGTGGGTCCCCGGAGCTTTCCACACGGTCCCTAGCCTATAGGCTCTCCATTCTCTCACTGCTAGCTTTCCTACTTTCAGAAAGAATTAAATTGTGAGCCTAACGTCCTCTGGGATGACATTTTTAGGTCCAGCCCGAAAGCTGAGATGAATATTCAAATCCGGTCTCAACGGATTCAACTTATCGACCCCGTAAACTTTATAGTCAACCAGGCTGCACTCAGCACTGGGTAAATCATCGTTGGGATGCATTGCCGTTCTCTCAGCACAGGTTCTAGTTGAAGCTCTAAATGACGTTTTGTGGACACCTCGGTAGCTGAATGACACGCCTGGGGACTTGTCAGAAAAGTAGCCGATGCGTTAGTTGGTCTGAGATGTGGCATTACCACATTCTTCCATAAGTAGTGGTATGGTCTGAGACTGGCTATCGTCTGAGCTTTAAGTAAAACCTCGGAGTCCGGGCTTTTTGAGCTCCATCTGAAGTCTGCTATAGGTATTTGGAGCGGCTTTCATGAGCTCCGATGAGATAACCTGCTTGCGTTCATAATCGGAGTTTGTCTCGTCTCCCCGTCATAGCTGCAGAATGTTCAACTCACCCATGTGTCGGAGGCATTCCGAATATATGAAGTAATTCTCCGAGAGGAACCTATTCAGATAAGGTCCAGATTGGATGTTAATACTTTGGATGAATTTCCAAGCTTCGGCCCAATCAGCGCACTATATTCACGAGTTGCAGATGGGTTTGCGGTGGTACATTAACACGGACTCAGACAAGTCTACCATTCTCCTAGCATAGCGTGAGAGACCATATAGGCGTTTCGCGGATTTTACTGCAAACTCATGGCGCTTATTCGGCACGTTCGGCTCATCAGTTACTTGGAAGTCTCCGACACATAAGCATTCCAATTTCTGGTTGTAAACCCTGGTACAATTGTAAGAAATTAGTGTGGGAGTTTGCAGCAGAGTTCTCGTGACAGGCCTTTTCCGTTGTTAGGAACGGGATATCACCAGATTCACCCTGGTAATCTTGTTGCATTCGGTAACTGCAAACAGGTTTTCGCTGATAGCGTGACAAATAGTGCGCTCAATTTGCCAGCATTGGCAGCACAGGCGAGAACAGTAGGCACGGGTGCATATTGCTCCGCTTTTTGTCGCTTGAGCTCCAGTACGTTGTCAGTCCTGTGCTTAATTGCTGAATGGCCATCGTGGGATAGTAGTGTGTCCGTGAGTTGAGGGTCATTGTGTCCGTAAATTTCAGCCGACACTCCGCTTAGAGAGCTTTTTCATTGGATATCCGGTGGTATCCCGTGGAGAAGCCCGACAGTTTAGGTCAGCACTTGAGGGGGTGCATGGACGGTTGGTAGTACACACGAACTGCTCTAAGACCCCAGGACCTGCCATTTTTCCGTCAGCTGGGTTGCTCCGTCTGGACTAATCAGCGGTGCAGCTCCGGTTGGTTGGAGATCGCAGACTGTCTAAGGAGTCGCGAGGGGGTTCTTCATTTCCCCTTGCACTGCATATTCGTGGATTGCGTCTACCTTAATAACCAGTTGACAGAAGCCCTAGATAACCGGCGCTTTGTTCGACGTCTATCTTCCAGGACTTGAGGGCAGTCCAGTTTGGTAGCCATTTCGTAGAGGCGTTCCCGTCTGCATTTGGCCGGGTCTAGTGCAGTAGTGTTCAGCTTAGTTGATACTGACTTCGCTCTAGGTCGTTTCCGCAATTCGAGTTGCCGCCTCCACTTCGAGACGAACAGGCGGTGGTCAGTCAGACATTCGTCCCGTCTTTGTCCGTCATCTTACCCAGGGCATCAGACAATCTCCAGATACCAAAAAAGTCGCAGATGGACCATCGCGTCACCCCCCCCCCATCCCCCGCCTGACGTATTTTATCTCAGCTACAACAAAAGGCAATTTTTCCGATTGCAGGGCGTAATATAACATATAGCAAAGAAATCGAAACTCAGTTTCATTTTGAGGAATTTGATTCTCGTCATCAAACGCAGGCATAGTTCACGCTACGCAACCATTGTTGGCTTCCGGAAGCGCAGTTGCCACCTGCGGCAGTTTCGGTAAAGGACTGCCACTAAGCTTACCGACTATGGGCAGTATTATGTTATGTGTGTCCGTGCGAATCTGCAGGGGCACCATCAGACTGAACAGACTGTCCTCGATCCTGTTCAAGTAATTGAGGAAGTCTTCGTCTGAAGTTGGTTCTAGTGTGATAGTGACCTTCCTTGAAAGGCCTGCAAACGGAAACAGCCGGAATAAGGCAGGGCTTTCAATGAATAAATCACTTTGGAGGTTTTTTTAGCAAAACGAAGCTTAATATTAAGCGGGGCTTTGCTACGACGTAGTTATAACAGTTTCTTTATGACCCAGAAGTGGAAACTGGATGCTTTTAACTGATAATCACGGTAGGACAAAGGAGAAGTTCCTAGGTTCTTCTACAAACGAAAAGCGGGATATTCTGTTAGATCTGACCTTGCAGCCGTACCAGAAATGGTTAAACCCCGACTACCTGTAATACAAGAGTGGTGGTGAAGGGGATTTTCCAGGTGGGGCAGTCGGACGCGTCAATGAGATGGCTGTGATACTGCGAAAGCATGATTTAATGAAGTGTGCAATAAAACTTTGAATGGGCTGAAACTGAAGTGCCAATGATGAAAATACGGTAGGGATCTAGCCAGCCAATCGAAAATGACAACGCGTGGTCAACCTCATTCGGCATGGTGTGCAGCGGCATTCGATGAAGATTATACTGCCGAACACTGATTTGTTCTGGGTAGGTGCGATTATGCTGAAAGAGCACAAGTGAACCCTGCCGGAAAGGAAATGGGAAGTATAGTGCTCGGGTATGGAGGTAAGGTTAGTCTTAGGGTTTGGGCTAACCTCACTCTAACCCAGACCGTAGGCATGACACTAATCTTAACCCTAACCACTAACCTTAACCCTAACCCATGACCTCCAACACTAACCCTAAACTCTAACCCCTAACCCTACCCTAATCCCCAACCCAGACAACTCGAAGGTTAGAAGGAAACGACGAACACCCAGTCAACGTAATTACGCCAACTGAAAGTCAATCAGCAGCTCAACAGTATTATGTTCCGTGTGCATGGCTGCACAATCAGATCCCACCGGATCTTGAACAAAACTTTTTCACCCACCTGGTATTCTATGCTGATGACTAGGTCCGAGTACGCTTAAACGCTTGCAACCTTTATTCCGTTAATGAACGTTGACTTAAAAGTGAAAGGTTTACTAAAACAAGCTTCGCGGGCTTTAAAATTGATTTTCCGTCCGCTTTCATCAGGTCAGATAAGATGTTAGTAAGCACGTCCTTGTCACGGAAGCTATGGAGCCTTTGATTTCGAGACTTCTGATTGGTAAGCACAAGAATCATGCCAGCCAACAGGACTTTTTTAGCACACCGGTGGTTTCTGTGCGCAGGTCAATGTATTAAACCGAATCGCGGAATGGCCGAGCTAGTTTCCGACAATTTAACCCCGCAGCTTGCGAGAAGATGACTTTTCTGCAGTTTATTTTAAACCAGTACGCGATTCAAAAACAAAGAGCATTCGTATCAGCCGCTCGTGAATTACTGCAATATTTGTAGTACCACAGAGCAAAACATTTCGTACGATATGCTTATGTTCACGATTCAAATATGGTACAAACGGTCACCAAATAAATAAAACTGTGATTTCGTTCGTTAAATGAGCAGAAGTGTCTGGCGGCAATATAACAAAATCTGTTCCGACAGTGCAGTTCTTCTGATCTTTTTTCCGTTTCCTCTCTGTCCTTAAGAGAAAATGGAGGGCCTGATATTAATTATTCAAATGGCATCGTAAGGCACTTTTCAAAGAGGAACCTTCATGGATTAAATATTTTGATTAGGAAAATTATGAGCCTTAGTCACGTTCGATCAGCCTAAAAATAGGACCCAGACAGTTACCTACAGCTACATGGTCTCCAAGAGTGCGCTACATGGGTAAATATCCCCAAGGTAGGCCTACATTTGATAATTTCGATTGTCATAAATACGAAACTCATATTTTCTGACGATCGACCAAGAACATTAAAAATACGAATGCTCCCATCTACGTTTTAGGGGCGTCTTAAAATTCGAAGCTTCTGCCGTCTTCTAAATGCAGACAGTAATTTTGCGGAGACAAAAACCAACTTATGTG